TGGGGTTGAGTTTTAAGACCTCTTCAATTTAGCAGACATGGCTTTTCGGTATGAAGAGATACTTAAAGAAGAGAAAAAGTGGAAGAATTCCTCTAAGGGTACTTATTACAAGGACCTTAATTATGAGGTATTCTCAACAGAAGTTTGAGAAGAATTAGAAGTTAACGTTGCTGAGGTCAATATCAAGAAGCCATACATCTGTAAGGTATTGGTCAAACTTAAGTCGACCACGGGGGGCAATGCAACATCAACATCGGCAGCAAGGAAAGGCCCTGCCGATATAGGGAAAAGCTACTCATTTGACTTATCAAAAATAAATCAAATCTTTGATCACTTGATGGCCGACAAAATGATCTATTTGCCTAAAGGGCATAAGATTCCATCGGCAAATGACCTCTAGGGAAAAGAGTATTGTAAGTATCATAACTCTTGGAACCATGCTACTAATGATTGTACTGTTCTACGAGGTGTATTGTAGAAAGCTATTGATGAAGGTATTTTAAAATTCCTAGAGAAAACTTCAGACACTATGAAGGTGGATACTAATCAATTCCCTACAATCACATCTAAAAATGTGATAAGCTTAGCTAAGCGAAAAAATCGGCAGGAGGCTAAGAAGATATCATGAGAGTTCCTATCATCAAGTACGACACTAAAAGATGGCAGAATTGCAGAAACAATTAAGAGACGCTCAATTGGCCCTGATAGATCAAGGTTATGGCCCAAATTGCAAAGGAAAGTAGAAACTTAAGGAAAAGGATCTAATAAAGATTCAACCAAAGAAGAAGAAAGGAATTCTTGAGAGGCTTACCTTCCCAATTAAGCCTGGTGGAAAGCCTAGGCAAGATAATTCCAGGAGCAGTAATGTGAACGCAGAAAAGCAGAATCGGCAAGTATATATATTTAGCTGATTCCATTCCCAAAATCAGCATACTAGTTTTAAAAGGCGGTCGCCAGTTTAATCAGAAATTTGGATACAAAAAGGAGCCGAGTCACATAAAGTGCGAACTATAAAACCAAGGGCAGACTCAACAGAGGACAGATGCACTCGAGTCAGTCACCCAAAATTCCCTAAAGTTCAACAATATCATAATGGAGGCCTTACTCGATCTCAGAAACGCATGAAACAAAGGAGAAGGGCTGAGGAAAAAAGGAAAGCTGAGGAGGGAAGCAAAGAAGAGTTGGCAGAGGACATCGGCATTCCAGATAAAGATCAACCGGATGAGGAGCATCAACTGACATGGCCCAGACGCAAAAATGAGTTCAAATTTTGGTTTGGTAGTTTCCCAAATGAAATGTCATGTAATATGGCATTTGTATTACCAGTAATGTTCCAAGCCCCATCGGCATCAAATACAAGAACTGAAAATAAGGAGAAGGAAACTCAGCCAATTCAGAATTTATCAATTCTTTCTTCAGAATCGGCAAAAAAGGTAGTCTTTGAGAAACCTTTGTTAGCGATGACTCAATAACTGAGGCCTTTGTATGTCAAGGTATAGGTAGAAGGCCAACCTATTAATCGAGTCTTGGTTGACAATGGTTCTATTCTGAATGTTATCCCAGCTAATACTTTGAAGAAACTCGGTAAGAGTATGGAAGATGTTATTCCCACTGATGTAGCAATTTGTGGGTTTAACGGAGGTTCTACTAGCACTAAAGGAATTCTTCCCTTAGAGGTCAAAGTTGGAGGAAGAACATTATTCATAGTATTTTTTATTATTGAATCCACGGCTTCATATAATTTGTTGTTAGGTTGTGGCTGGATTCATCCAAATATGTGCATCCCATCGTCATTACACCAAATGCTGATCTTTTGGGATGGAGATAAGGTAAAGATAATGAATGCCGATGACAAGCCATTTGTGAAAAAAATGTACTCGGCAGATGCTGTTTTGTATGACAAAGAGTATGTCCCTATTCAATTTGTGTGAACAAGAGCTGACGGAAGACCTACATCGGTAACTATCAGAAGAAGTCTTGCCGATCGTGAAATCGGTGAATTGCAGCAGGAAAATTCTAGGCCGAAGGTAGAACTCCCTCGGCTGACTATAGTTGAAGAAGAAGTTTTTAATAGAAGCGAAACTTGAAAGAGAAACAGCTTGGCAGCAGGCCTATATGACCGCTTACATTAGGTTACAAGCATACATAGCTGAAAGACGACTGGAAAAAGAAACAAAAATAGAGCCAGGACTATCAGCTAGAGTTACTGAAGTTGATCAAATCGATAATGAAAAGTTGGATACTATTCAGTTAGAAAAGTTGGAATTAGCACCAGCTAAGCTTGATGATCTTAAAACAGAAACTCAAGATCCATTAAAGGAGGTGAATTTAGGCACTGATTCAAAACCAAGACCAACCTACATCAATGTACTGTTAGACCCAGAATTACAAGCCGAGGTGATCGACATGTTAAAAGAATACAGTGACTGTTTTGCTTAGAATTATGAGGAAATGCCGAGTTTATCCAAAGATCTGGTGGAACATCAATTGCCCATGAAGGATGGCTATAAGCCATATAAATAGCCACCTCGCCAAATGTCTCAAAAGGTGGTAGATAAAGTCAAAATGGAAATCAAAAGATTATTGGATGCTGGGTTCATTCGAACTACAAGGTTTGTTGAGTGGCTATCGAATGTAGTTCCTGTTATTAAAAAAAATGACGAATATATGTTGATTTCCGGAACATAAGCTCGGCAATCCCAAAAGATGAGTATCTTATGCTGATAGCCGATCAATTAATTGATGCGGCTGCCAAGCATGAAATCATGTCTTTTATGGATGGACACTTAGGCTATAATCAAATTTATATAGCCGAGGACGATATCCCAAAAACAGATTTCAAATGTCTAGGATCTATTGGAACTTTTGAATAGGTAGTAATGCCTTTTGGGTTAAAGAATGCTGGTGCTATATATCAGCGAGCTATGAATTTTATTTTTTATGATATGCTCGGCAAGTTTATGGAAGTATATATTGATAATGTTGTAGTGAAATCGGCAACAAAAAAGAAACACTTAGTTCATCTCAAAACATCTTTTGAGAGAATTAGGGCTCATAAGTTGAAGATAAATCTAATAAAGTGTGCCTTTGGAGTATTGGCAGGAAACTTTTTAGGGTTTTTGGTACACCAAAGGGGCATAGAGATCAATAGGAATAAAACTAAGGTAATTATTGATGTTAGTGTGCGAGAAGCAAGAAGCAATTACAGAGGTTACTTGGTTAAGTAAACTATCTTAGACGATTTATTACCAATACAGCTGGTAAGTTACATGTGTTTTCCCCTTTACTCAAGTTGAAGCCGATGGAAGAATTCAAATAGGACGATACACATCAGAGGGCATTTAAACAAATCAAGACATACTTGTCGAGTCCTCCTATAATGATGCTGCTGAGGAAGAAGTGGCCGATAAAGTTATATTTATCCGTTGCCGAAGAATCCATCGGAAGTATGCTAGCACAAGAGAATGAAGCAGGAAGTGAACAAGTAATATACTATTTCAGTCAAGTGTAGATATACGCCGATTAAGAAATTATGTTTGGCTTTGTATTTTGCAGCAATGAAATTAAGAGTATATATGTTGCCTGTTTTGGTTTATATTGCTTGTCAACCAGATCTTATAAAATATATGCTATCAAAACCATTAATCACAGGTCAGATCGGCAAGTGGGCTTTGGCACTAATGAAGTTCAACTTTGCATATGTTCCACAAAAGGCAATTAAGGGAAGAGTATTGGCAGATTTTCTTGCCGATCATCCCTCACCTGAAATCGAATCACAAGTGTTTGATGAGCTTGACTCGACAGCCATATTCATGACCCCTTGGACTTTAATGTTTGATGGGTCGAGTACCAGTGAAGGCTCTGGAGCTGGTATAGTAATAATATCCCCATCAGGGAACCAAATTTTGTTTTCCTTCTTTTTGGATTTTAGTTGCTCAAATAATCAAGTAGAGAATGAAGCATTGATTATCAGCTTGGAAATTCTACTAAAAATGGCAGTCAAGGATGTCCACATTGTGGGAGATTCAAGTTTAGTGATTAATCAAATCTTAGAAGACTTTAGATGTTTAAATTGGCAATTAAGGCCATTTCATTCATTGGTAACCCAATTGGTCAACCAATTTCACAACGTGACTTTGGAATATAGACCAAGGGCCATGAATAAAATAGCTAATGATTTAGCACAAACTGCTTCAGGAATCAGAGTGTCAAGTGGTATGAAGGATAGGATAATGAAAATTGTACGCCGATCTTTTTCATCGGCTAAAACAAGAAATCAAGTTATGGAAAAAGTCTTTGCCACTGATGTTGTTGAGTTAGATGATGATGATTGGCAGATCCCTCACATCTTGTTTTTATAACATCCAACTCTAGAAGCCGATCAGAGAATAAAAGTAAATGCAGTCGATAATGTACTTATGGATGAAGATCTTTATAGAAGATCGGCTGATGATGGTTTGTTATTTCAATGTATTAGCAAGTTTGAAGGTTTAAAGATTATGGCAGAGGTACATGAAGGAATATGTGGAACTCATCAAGTTAGCATAAAAATGAGATGGTTGAGACGCCGATATGGATATTATTGGTCTGGAATAAGAAAAGATTGTATGACCTATGCAAAGGGTTGTACAGATTGTCAAAAGCATGGCCCATGCAGTGGGTTCCAGCAATAGAGATGCAATTATTAGTCAAACCATAGCCTTTCAGAGGTTAGGCCATGGACTTAATCGGCAAGATTAATCCTCATTCATCAAAGGGTCATCATTGGATTATTTTAGCTACCGATTATTTTACCAAATGGGTAGAAGTCGAGGAATATGCCTCAGTAACTCACAACACTGTGATACAGTTTTTAGAGCGACGCATCTTTCACCGATTTGGTTTACCAAAAACAATTGTTACCGATAATGGGTCTGTGTTTCGAGTAGGAGAAGTGTTATAACTCGACCGCAGTATGCAACTAAAAATGGTAACTTTAATACCCTATTATGCTTAAGGGAATGGCCAAGCCCGCGGAGGCTTCAAATAAAGTTGTTATTGAAATTATTGAGAAGATGATAAAAGATAAGCCAAGGCGTTGGCCTGAAACCCTTTTAGAGGCCTTGTGGGCTTATAGAAATTCGAAGCAAACAAGTACTGGGACTACTCCTTATCAGCTAACATTTGGTCATGATGCTGTGTTGCCAATGGAATTAAAAGTGAAATCGACAAAGGTAGCTTTACAACACAATTTGATACCTGCCGATTACAATGAAGCTATGCTTACCAAGTTGGAGGATTTGGATGAAGTTCAAAAACTTGATTTAGACCACCTTATGGTTTATAAAGCAAAGGTAATGAAGGCTTACTACAAAATGGTGAAATTTAAGTCATTTGCAGAGGGTGACATGGTTTGGCAAACAATTCTTCCACCTGGGAAGGTGGATATAATTTATGGAAAATGGTCACCTACTTGGAAGGGCCCATATTTGATTCACCAAGTGTTACATGGAAAAGCTTACAAGTTAAAATATTTAGTGGTGAAATTCATGAGAGGCCTATAAATGGAAGGTACCTGAAAAAATACAAACCAACTATTTTTGAACTTATGGAGGAAAAGAAAATCTCCACTAGATCAAAATAGTTTGGATTATGTTAAGTTTAATTTGTTGATTTCCATTTGATTCTTGTAAGTTATTTTGATGCCATATGTATTTCAGTTAGATAAAGATATCATCAAAATAAAGTTCCAAACATATTTGTCCAAAATATCATATTACAGACCCATAATTATTTAAATTTTGTCAAAATTACTATGAAATTCTTCAAATTTGGCTTTGAAATCTGCCCACAAGGCCCGGGACTGGTTAAGGACTATTTCTGCTTGTTTCTTGTTTTGTTCTGACTTCAGCATCTAAGCTTGTAATGCTTTGAATTTGGGGGCTGCAATCTCTATTTGAGTCTTTAATTCCGCCATTTTATTACCAAGTTGACTTTTATCCAGCTGTAGCTGAGCAAGTTCAGCTTGAAGTTTCTTCTCCTTAGCATCTAATTCAGCAGCTTCTTTCTTCAGAGATAAGTGCAGTTCTCTTCCCATCTTCAGTGTTTGGTAACGTGTTTCTTTTTCTTGACACTGGGTTGAATACTGGTTGATGATTTGATCCGATTCAGCATAAGAAGTGGCCATGGAAGGGATTTGAAGTTGGAAATTTTAAAAAAAGGCTTGGTTACTCAAGGAAAATCCTGGGAAGCTACTGAGAAAAGAAAGTGTCTCAGTTAATTCCTCTTTAAAAGTAGGGGTCAGAGATAAATCCTGTTGCAACATCTGGGACAAGATTTGCACAACTTTGGTTATTTCTAGAGGAATTTTAGTAGTTTTGACAGTGGATATCACGGGGGTTCAAGATCTAGGGAGTCAAACACATAATCAAATAGAGAATCTAGAGTGGTGAATGGTGAACTCGGGTTGGATCCTGCAAGCACAATAAGAGAAGTAGGGTCTTTCTGCACCTGAAATGTTTTGAATCAGTTTCAATCGTCACAAATAAACAAGTAATATGTTCATTTTACCTACTTACTTCCTCAGAGTCTCCAATTTTTTCATTCATTGGAGTTGAAGCTAGGTGTTGAGAAGAAGCTGGAGAAATCTTTTTAGGTGGGTTTTGTTCTTGGACCATTGAAACTTTAATCTTTTCCTTTTCAACATTGTCCATAGTAAAGTCTCCACTTGATTTTTGTTCTGAAGAGAGTGGAGTTTTCTGAAAATAATGCCGATTTAGTTATATTATGTGAACAAATACATAATGTATGAAATCAGGCATCAAGAAATTTTACATGGGAGAATCAGTGACAGATTTCTTTTTCTTGGACATAACTTCATCGTTATCTACTTCATCGTCATCAATCAAGACGAAATCTCTCTTGACTCTTGATTTTTTAACAAGTTTCATTCCAACAGTTTTCCTCCTTGTTTTTCCCTGTAACAGAAGTGTTAGTAAGTAAAATGATATACATAAAAAAAATGGGAATTGTTCGATTATAAGTGTTACTTGAGAAACAGCTACCGGAGGGATACTTTGAAGAGGAACATAGAAATCAATTGGGGCTGATTCTGACAAGGTTGGGGTTGCTCTTTCTGGTGTAGAGGGTGGAACACCTATAGTTTAAATATAAAAAAATTTATGCCAAAAGTAGATATGATTATTGATGAGGTACGAGTAGGACCATAACTTACTTTGCCGAGAGCGTGATCTGGTCCTAGCTGCAGGAGCTATAGGAGGAGGTTGACTTGCTGGCTTGATAGGTTCAGCATCAAGAATGGGAGCAGCTGAGAGAAGAACAAGTGGAATTAGATCTCCTCCTTGGAAGGCAAGAGAAATAAACTTGTATGACCCAAGGAGAGTGTGCACAACTTGGGTGGATTCTTTTGTCCTGGTGGAACTAGTGTATGCTGACCACCAACTTTTAAAATTGGGATCGGCATGAGGTTCTTCATGAAAGGGTTTGAATTGAAAATTTTGCAAGAGTTGCTAAAACTGGTTAGTTACATCTTTAACTTGTTCACTGTCTGATAATTTGACTCTCCGGTTGAAGTTCTTGTTGTAAGAAAAATGGGGAGGCAATGGGATCATTTAAGTTAACCCAAATTGCCGGGCTAACTGAGCCGGGTTATAGAACTCCACTCCAGTTCGACTTTTTGCAAGATATGGAGCCACAATGTTAAAGGGAATATCTCTTGCAATCAGAAAGTGACCCAATGACAAGTTGTAGGATTCTATTTGCTCTGCCGAGGAATCAGCAGTAGGGGGAAACAACTAGGATGGAGCAAGTTTGCACCTTGAAAAGGGTAAGAATTGGGATCGAGATCTAACTTTACATTGACGATAGAAGAAATGAAAATAGTCCGGGAAAGAATGATCCTTGGGTTTTGCTCTGGCACAACCAAATGATATGAGGGGATCATCTGTAACAAGCTGTATCTTAGGTGCCACTTCAGGAAAATATGCATACAACTAAAACTGAAATAACCAAAATGGACCTCCTAACCTTAAAAAATTTGACATAATAAAGTCTGACAAACCTCTATATAAAGATGCTAGGAGGAATGGAGCCAAGGCCATGGATTTTCCTTTTGATAAGGCAATGGCTAGCCAGGTAAGATCTTTAGTTATCTGAATGGCAGGGGCACAAAGTAGACATCTACATAACCAGAGCAATAAGAACCCTATATGCTCCTGATCACTTACTTCAGTGCCAGGTTTTCCTATTATTTCTTTCAAAAACGGGCTATGAGATTGAACGTGGGGTTTTGAGCCCTCTTGCTCTAGATAAAAGAAGGTCGATTTTGTATCTTGGAAGAGATAATTAATGTCTTCTCCTCCCAGTTTTAAACCAGTTAAGAAACAGATATCTCGTAGGGTAGGGGCCATCATACCACAGTGTAAATGCAAAGAATTTGTGGTTGGAGACCAAAAGTGAGACAAAATAAAGAACAGAGGTCTATCTAAAGAAAAGGGAATCTTACTAAGTTGGATGATGTCGAAAATGCCCATCTGATTCCATAAGTCACCTTTGGCTGCAGAAACACAATCAACCCATTCGCTCTATTGAAGCATCAGAGGATGCCAATTCTTGATGGAAAGGGTCGGTCTTTCTCTTTCGGCGGTAAGATATATGGGTTTCGTAAAAAGGAGATGTTTCTCCGCTTGTGGATAAAAAGGGGATAGTGACGAAGGCAACAAATGGCTAAACGTTGGGCCAAGCCCCTTAGCGTTATCTGTGATGTCGATTAAGATCAAGGTTTTTATTTCAAGACCAATTAGGGTTTTCACTACTGATTTGGTCATTTGGGTATGCGAAGAAAGTTCAGGAAAATGGTTTTCTAAGTTTAGATCAGAGATTTACTTTTAGGAAGACATAGTTGAAGGATGGAGAAGATTTAGTTGAAAAGGGAAATAAACACTTTGATAGAAGAGATTTTTGGTGATACAAAATGAAGAGTTTTGGATTGTGTTTGAAGAAGAGACATGAGGTATTGGGAGACAAAGAGTTTGATGTAGAATTAATGGTTGAAAGGATAGACTAGTGGAATCGGCATTTTTTGGAAATTACAACCATCATGATATTTAAGAGATTATATGGTATAAGCGTGTTTACATTGAAATGGGTGTTGTTTTGAATTTTGGAAGCCGAAGTGTTAAAACGGCTACCAAAATTGAAGGGCATTGTTTACACCCATTTTGGTAATTAGGTTATTTTAGTAATTGGGCTGGATATATAGTGACATGGCAAGAGATTGGGCTGTGAAGAAGGATTCAACTTGGTATATGGGTTATAGACTGTAAGGCCTGATGAATGATGATGTTTTAGAAGCTTGGGCTATAAAGACATTGGGCTGAAGAATATTACAATTGGGCTGGATATATAGTGGCATGGCAAGGGCTTGGTTGGTGAGAAGAGGTCCGATTGGGTATATGGAGTATATGGGCCAACTACATGGTTCAGCTTTAACTAAAGGAAGTGTTGACAGCTCCACATGGAATCCGAATTGCATGCAAAGACTTATTTTGAATTAGATGATAGATAGAGCTTGTAATTATTGTTTTATCTTTTATTTAGGTGCAGTTAAGTATTAAGATTATCTGTAGTTTAATTTAATTTGAATTGTCACATAGTTGTGATTAGAATTTTACTACAAGTAGGATGCTTGTATGTAGGGTTTAGTTGTTATGATTTATTCTATAAATAATCAAAGAAGCATGCTGAACTAGAGGTCCAGCACCCTCAGAATCATTTTATTATTGTATTTGCTTTCTCAAGCTCTTTCCCAAAATAGTATCCTTGCTATTTCTCTCTATCCCTAACTTCTTAATTCTCATTCTCTCTCTTTCCCTCTAAATCTTTTTCTCTCTATATTTTTTCTATATCTATTTTCCTCCCCTTTCTATTCTCTTGATAGTTACTATAAGTTATTCATTGAAAAGTCCTTTTAACTAAGGCAATTAGAACTCATGAAGGAGCATTTTTGTTCTCTTTCTCCTATAATCGCCTGAAAGTCAATTTCTCAAAGAGACTGCAAGTTGACTATCCACAATTGAACCATATAGTTGGTTCTGGCATGCCCGTTTTACCTTAATTTAAGATCGGCTCCAGTTAGCCGATTTTAGCGTCAACAAACACGCGCTTATTAGAGAGTCAATTTAGGCTCAACTCGAGGTATAAAATTATCAATCCAAGCCCCGACCAAATCCGCCATGAACTTGAATTAATGAACCGAGGTCAATCTATTCTTAATTTTTTAAACCCGGGCTTATAATTCCTTGAGTTAGAATTCGGGTCAATGTGCTAAACAATGAAATAATCTTAATAATTAAAGATTGTAGGCTCTTTACATCAGAATCTCCAGTGCCAATTACATCCCAAGTGAGTGGATCTCGTCTCACTTGTATTATTTATGTACAAAACCAGTGGAAACCCATTTTTTTTTTAATCACATTCTTCAGCAATAATCATTTCACCACCGAATTTTTCTAGTATCAATATGGATATATATATAAAAAAACTA